AACAAATATTATCTTGTGTACTTCGAACCAAGAAACAACTACAAATTTCATTTTAACTTCTTAACTTTGAAACAAAAGTTAAAGTAGATCCTGAATCACGATTGGAGAAACCAATTGGATATCGTTTAATGTGTCGATTTTGGACATATGATGTTTTTTATCATCCAGCAATCATTCGAGGAAAATATGAATATCTAATGAGAATGGATGATGATTCATACTTTATGGATCATATTAAAATGGATATTTTTAATTATACGTATAATGCAAAACTAGATTATATTTATCGATGTGTATATTATGAATCGATCGCCCCGATGGTGTCTATCGTACATAGACTTCTCAACAAAACTAATCTTCAAAATGGTTGTATTTATAATAATTTCTTTGTTATTCGTTTGAAATGGTTTTATGAATCAAAACAAGTTCAAACTTTTGTTCGTGAATTGATTCGAGATGATTTCATGCTTCGACAATATATAGGTGATGGATGCGCTCATGCGGCTATGCTTGAAATTGATAAGCAAGTGAAAGCACAATTTCTTACAAATATTTCATATGGTCATAATTTTCATTTAATGCCATCCGGACATGTGTTCTGGGCATTTCGTGCAGAAACTAAATTTTATGAAGAGATAAAAAATGCATGTCATCAATTAACAGTACTGAGGAGTTCTAAAGGCATTTTGACACGAATAAATGTGACTGCGACGTGAAATTTTTGAAAAATATAAAATAGCTATTTTTATTGTTTATTTTTATTTAGATTGTTGTCGTCGTCTAGTTTATATTTGTGTTATTATATATTTATTATTCTGGTATGTCAACTTTCGTTGTCGTTCATTATCGATTTTTAGTCACGAAATTTTGTGAATATATACTAACGCATGTATCATACATGCTGACATACTCACAACCACGTTTCAACGTGTCAGGCAGTGTAGAGGTATTCCATAGGTTCTAGATATGTCCTCTATCTTATGACCAAGATTTCTATCGCTTATGAGCTACCGCTTTGCAACTAAGTACTACTGACCCGAGCAAAAATCTTTTCTGATATATATATATATATGAGCTGCTTTGGGTGAAATTGGAATCCACTTTCAGGAAAGCTGTCTAGTAGATGTTGTTAGATTTTTCTTATTTCAAGATATGTTGTAGAGGAAAGAGTTTTAAGAATGTTGACGCAAGCCGTTTGCAAAAGTTTTGTTTTGTTCTCGAGATATCTCGGTTCTTCTCAGAGCATTTATGCCAAAAACAGACATTTTTTTGTGATCTTCTTTGCAGATTTTATAACATCCATATTAGATCAAAGATATATTTTTTTGACTTGAAAATTTTAGTTCGAATACATCCGAGACTAAAGCACGTTTCCTGATAATAATGAGAAATAAAAATCCGCTGTTGAGGAATTGACTAATACTAACGTACATATGAAAAAAAGATCATCTTTTAATATTTTATGCGCAGACAAATCGCTTGAACGAATTATGTTAAAGAGTTGAAGTTTTAGTTATAGAGAGATCTCATTGAATAATTGCTCTGATAAAAAAAATCAGTTCTTTAGATAGTTTCTATAGCTTAGAGGACCTTCCACACAATCATGCTTTTGTGAAACGTCTCCTAAGCTATAGAAACTATCTAAAGAGCTAAATTTTTTACCAGAGTAAGTAATTAATGAGATCTCTTCATAGTCAAAATTTCATTTCTCTAGTTTGATTCGTTGATGACATAGTATATGCATAAAATACCGTTAAAAGACTAATTTGTCATGTGTCTGGTGATGCTGATAAACTCATCAATCGGACACTCATTTGAAATCATTATTTAATGGCAAGTACATTAACTTGAGATGTACGCACGGCAAAAATTTTAAGCCATACGGATGTATTTTTGATGAGAAATGAATGTCACAAAAATTATCAAAGCTGTGCTTTTTTTGTCGATAGTATTCTTAGAGAAATTTTTAATATTTCGACACCGTAACAATATTTTTCCAAACGGCTTGCATCAAAATCTTGATGAAAAGATAGAAGATATATCTAGAACATTTGGAATGCCTTTATACTGCCTAACACATCGAAACGTGGTCGTGAGTATGTCAATATGTATGATACTTGCGTTAGTACATATCTTCAAAATTTCATGGCTAAAAACATTGACGTTCAAAAATGGCGAAGCATACAACGAATGGGTATTGCATTGGTTATCGTCATTTTTTACTTGAAAGTGCCTCTATTGTGATTTCAATATTTGAACAAGAGAACGGTTTAAGAAGAAAAAAATTTGACGTTTTCGCATCTCACTGGAAACTACACATGCGCAAAGTTTTGTTGAAATCAATTGAGCACGATTGTTCGTCCCTATCGTGCAAGGACTTCCATGTATCAGATAGACAATTTATACTTTTTTCGTTCGAAAAAAATATTATAATTTGTGGATTCCAAATATTCGCCAATCTTTTACAATAAACTTGAACATTATCTTCAATTCTTTTAAGGCTCATTTATTTTATATTGTGAATAAAACATTAGACTACTCTATTTATATTTTTTGTCTTTTTATATATTAAAGCAGGATTATTTTAACTTATATTGTTCACTTTAGATTGTTCACATTAGAAGAAGTATTGATAAACGTAATACAACAAACTGATAATAAATCGATTGTCTGAGTAGATTATAATCTAATGTGAATGTGAAAAAAACACCTATAATATGAATTAAATTAAAGAAAAATAAATGAAAACTATTCATTAGAGTCCACCATGTTTGAAAAGAATAAATATCTAAAAATACCTTTACAATATTCTTTTTTGTTTTAACATTTGTAAATAACCCTTATCTGCTCAGAAATTAGTTCAAATGTGAATATGTACTCCCATGATGTATAAATACTAAGCATATTACCTTGGATTTAGCAATCTATATTTTAACGTTCATGAGATAATATATAGAATCTAAATTCTGCTAAACAAACGAGCTATAATGAGCCGATATTGAACACACGAAACCTGTATTGAAAGAAAAAAAAATTCAAGTTGCCTATAAAACATTATTACATTAAAATCAATTCAGTTCTGTGAACGCATTTTAAATTATTTAAAATTTCGTAATAATACTGCTTTTAAGATTCTATTTCGTTTAAACGGCGTTATTATGAAACCTTAACACGCTTAAATGCATCTTGTTAAAGATCTTGTCTGCCTGATTAGTATACTTATGTCGTGGTGATATCTTATATAATATCTGCTGATATTAAATAAAGAAACTGAGAAATTTATTCAGTAAGGAAAAGTCTTTTTTTTTTTGACAACAATAAAATAACAACTAAAACATTTATCTTCAATTGTTTAGATGATTCGATAACATAATATCTTCAGGATTTTCAAAAACAAATGAAACGTAAAAGATGTTCGGGAAGTTATCTATCGAAAAGTATCTCCAATATCTTCATTATGATTTTGTCAAATTAGTTAAATTTATTTTTTGTAATCGACGAGAGTTCCAAGGTTGTACTGTTATGAGTAGTGTTCTGCAACTATATCGACTGCAAACTCCCCGGATGCGTTCAAGGATCGGGTATCTTCTTATACCCATATCCGACTCGGCAATTAATGTCATCTGGATGTTTCAAAATAAATTTACTTTTTCAAACTATTAATTTATATAAAAGTATAGAAGTGAAAATCGATTCGATTATGATCAAGTAATTTATTGTATTTGAGAATAGGTCACATGAATGAAAAACAATATTGTTGTACTGAAAGAATTTGTTTTTAATAAAAATTCATCTATAATAGGAAACTGAATAGATGGAAAAGAAAATGAATTATCGTAAAAGATGAACATGTATTTATTCACAATAAAGACCTTTGGCATCAACATACTGCGCTTCATGTCAATGTCATCATCAATATGGAAACGTATACTTAACAAATTGATTGGATTTTAGAAACAGAAAGACACTGAATGATTCACTCGTTTTTTTTCTGGCATTTGAGATAATCTCTATTTTTTTTGTTTTAATATATGAAAGAAACTTAATAGTATACTTTTTCGTATAAAATAAAAGTTTAAAAACCGTACTGCAATTGTGAAAGTATCTATCGGGTGTTGATCAGCTCCGATTGTAAAAATTCGCACTCGTCTAGAACACTAGTTACGAGAGAAGTTCACTCGTAACGATCAAAGCTATCAACCTTGACTGAAATACTTGAGTTCATAGCTTACTTTGTAGTAGGAGAATACTTGACTTGAACAATTTCCGAAGGCTTTGTGTCCTTGTTGAGTGTTACTTGAGATATTGAATATTTACTGAAATAACTTCTGCAGGATTAAACGAAGAAAAATTTTGGGAAACTTTTAGAAGCATAAAAATCTCCAAATCAACAAAACTATTAGGATTTGAAAAATCTTGTAGACGTCCAACTTGTCTATTTTACATGATCGAACTCTATATTTCAATAAAATATTCTTATTAAATTTTAACAAGAAATTTTAGCCATATAAAACTTTTTCATAGACTTAGTTTTCAACATGACTAGTAAACTTCTTTCATCAGCAGAAACAACGATTTCAGCAAGTTTAGTTCAAATACAATAGAAATAATCAAATTATTTTTGGGTAAATAACTTCTACGGGAATCTGTAAATTCTTTTCATTTTCTTTTTAACTTGCCTTAAGAATCATTTAACAAAGACAACAGACAAAATGAGAATATTAGTCTTTTTTTTCTCTTTTCATTCTTTATCACACATTTTTTTCCATTATATGTAATTGAGAACTTGAAAAAAAAACATGAACGACATCGAACAAGTATTTTTCTTCAAAACAAAGGAAATTTCTTTTCACTTTCCTGCATTGTCACCAAAACTATTGCTACCATCGCCGTCATCAAATAACATTCAAATTTTTACAGGTCGTTAAAAAAGAAAAAAAAAGAGTACTTGTATACACATATTCACATACCTAAAAAAATGGATCGGGACAATGCTAACGCAACGCGTTTACGTGTGAATCGTATAGCATTAATTCAACAAATTGATACTCAAGAACTCATACCTAAACTTATTCGTGCTCGCATTATTTCTCCAGATCATGATGTGCAATATATTTATCAAGGTACATCAAGAATTGATCGTGCACGTCGTTTAATTGATTGTCTTCTTAAAAAAGAATCCGAACATGTTAACCGTCCAGCTAACTGGTTTTTATTATTTCGTAGTATTCTTCTAGAAAATTCATCGGTCTATAATGATCTTGTAATTGCACTTGATAATACAATAATTCGAGCACCGGATTCCACTCGTTCTCAACCATACGTATCAACTACTAGATTAAATGAACATCAAAATTTAATTCATAAAACTGAACAACAACAACAACAAAATAATGAACAAAAGAAAAATTCACCTGTGATAAATAATTACCAACATCATATAAAAAATATTGAATTTGATCGATATGCTATGAATAAAGTTGTAATTGAAGGTAGTTTTCAAAAAGTTATTGACAATCTTACTTATCATTCACAAGTACGTCTTAAATTATGATTACTTTATCAAAAAAAAAAAAAAAAAAAAAAACAAGTTTTGTTTCTTCATTTTTCTTATACTTCTTGTATAACATAAATTCAAATTAATATTTTCAAAACAGGAAAAACAATTAAAAGAAATATGAGAGAAGAAATAAAACTTTCTATTTCCTTTTAATAGTATTATCTCGATTAGATTTATTAATTATTCATATGATCCAATATTCAGAATTGCTATTAAAAATAAACCGAATAACACGTCTTGTAATATACATATGTAAAGCTTCCAATCTTCACAAAGCTTCATTATTTCTCAATATAATTAATAAAAGCTGTTAGAACAATTCCTGTGGGATTAAAATATGAACCGCACTCTGACTGCTCTTGTTAATCATAAGAAACATTGTTTTATTCTGTATATTTTGAGCCATATTTCTTCACAATCATTTTGCTTAATCTTTCAGAAATGCAATAATGAAGTAGGTCATATAATTATTATAATGAGACGTTTTTTATGTATGATTGATGATCGTCTATTAACAACGTTTGTCACACTCTGTCATGACTAGTTGCTTAGATTTCTATCAGCTAGGGAGTTGCGGGTCCTGTCACACCGTAGTTCAGTTGTATCTAGATCCAAAATTTTAGCTTTTCTCGGGTACGGATCAACAAAAACGTTTATCCCTAGCTTCCTACATTGATTATATAGAATGCATTCTTGAAAAACACCTTGGATCTGGATTTACACACAAAAAAAACAATTCTAATATTATTTCAGCGTAGATAAATCGATCCTTTAAGTTTATAATTTGATCTTTCTTTAAATATTCTTAAAAATTATTTTTTTTTTCTGTTTAGATTCCTGAACATTTATTTGATCAACTTTATCATTCGACTAATTCTTATGATCATGAACAACTTGATAGTGAACAACAAATTTTTGATAATATGCGTCGTATTGAATTATTAATGAATTTAATGAAACAAGAAAAATCTCTATCAAATCGTACTATTTTTGATACAGAAATAATTGATTTACTTCTTGATGATTCCAATCATCAACATCATTTTTATAAATATTTCTTTTCACTTTCATCTATATATGGTATACATTATGATCAAAAATTTGTTTATGCATTAAAAGATTCACTTAATAAACAAGATGATATATTAAATATTGTTGAAAAAGGTTTTTTATTAAATCAATTTTTATATAATTATGGACGATATGAATTATGTCAACAAATAATTGAATCTATTATACAATCATTAACAAAATTAGTTAAACAACATAATCAAAAATCTATTATATGGACATATTTATTTCGTGGATGTTGTGCACTTGTACAAACACATTATCAAAGTTTTCAAATACAACAAGCCTGGGCAAGAATTGAGGCAGCTAATGAAATTGTTGATAGTCTTAAAACAACTGGAATAGGTTATTGAATAGAAAAAAAAATATAATATTTTCATATAAAAATTAATATCTTTTCTTTTTATTGTTTGTAACAGAAATTGCCAATAATGAATATGCTTGGTTATATTCTACAATATCTCAAACAGCTTATGAAGATGCAAATTTTGATGCTTGTATACAATATAGTTATAAGTAACTTTTTTTTTTCTTTTGATATTTTATATCATTTATTAATATATGATATTGATTATTAGAGGTCTTAAATTAGTTGATAAGACTAATCATTCATTAATTATTGATTTACTTTGTTCATTGACAAATGGTTTAACATTAAAATGGATTATGAATAAAGCACAAGCAACAGCTCTTATGACTGTACAATATGCGGCGTAAAATTTTATTTATAAAATTTAATGTAAAATTATATTCTTTATCATTCCGTTTATGATAGGAAATATTGCGGTAGAAATAGTCCAAAATATATTCATGCACTTCAACAATTACTTCAATATTCAAATGAATTTATACAAGATCAAAGTTCTGTTGAATTAGCACAGGTATGATAAATGTGTCATTTTTTATCTTTAAGTTTTCTTCTCGATGGTAATAGTTAGTAAGAATCTGAAAGAAAAAGAACCGTTCCCCCGAAATCAACTTTCTAACTTCTATTCAAAGTTTTGGGAGAAAAGATTTCATTTGATAGAACAAATAATTCTGAGCAAAATAAGGTATCATCGATCTCTCTATGACCTTCCTTCATTGAACTGCATTCAATTTACAGAAGCCCCAAGAAGCATTTTTCTCTTTTTATTGAAAATTTCAATGCTGTTGCCATGTTTAACGCTTTGGGGCCTTCTGTAAATTGAATGCAGCTCGATGAAGGAAGGTCATGGCGAGGTTGAAGACGTCTCATTTTGCTCAGAATAATTTTCTATATCAAATAAAGTCTCCTTCTAAAAGCTTCAAATGGAAGTCAGAAAGCTTGTTTCGGAGATCTTGATTTTCTGCAGACCCTCATCTAAGCAGCTTTGTTGTAGTCTTCAGGTCTACCAAATCTTTTTAGCTACGCTAATTTTTCCTTCAAATTGATACTAGCTATTACCATCAACAAGAAAACTTCAAAAATATGATTGCTCTAAACTTTTGTTCACTGATATACCTGTGAATATTTTTGGATATGGTTATGTCAATCTATCTTCAAAACTTCGAATGTTAAGTAACACTTACATTCACATCTAGAGATTGATGAAAGTTAGATACGGAATGTTCCGCTTGAATATAACAATTCTAATAGATAGGTAATATTCATGTATATTGAATTAATTGGAGACTTAAATTGTCTTCTGAAAAAGTAATAAATACTAGTAGTAAAATGATAAAAGTATAATTGGAGAAAATCTTCATCATTTACACAGTATATTCTTACCTACACGTCGTATTTCATGTGATTGAACTATAGGTATGTGAACATTGAAGAAGAAGAAAAAAAACTTTATTAAATCTTATTTTTACTTATCATAGATTCATTTTAATAGAGATTAATACAAATAATAATTCATTATTACTTTTTTTTGTTCAATAACAAAGTTTAATCATATTTATCTATATCAATAATACTCAGCTAATAGAATTCTCATTTATTCTGATAATTTCTTGTTCTTAATTTTCTTTATCAATTCTCTTCATCCTAACTATAATATAATTTGTAGTATACACTTGATCGTGCTCGAATTGTTTATGGATATGAATCATTAATTGTTGCTCATTGTCATCGAGCCTTATCCAAAAGTTTAATAAATCTTGCATCGACAACTAATTCTCGTCGTAACATTCAAGATTCACTATTTGAAGATAATATGAATTATTATCCGAATACAACAACAAAAAATGTATCATCATCTGCATATCTTCATCATGCTCAAGAAGCATTTCGTATTGCTCAAGATTGGTTTGGTGTTGAAGATCGTATACGTTTATTTCCATTTAAAATGAGTTTAGCTCATGCTTTACAAGCACAAATTGCAGCTAATTTATCTAATAAAAGCAATAGTTATTTTGAAGATGCTATGGAATTACTTAATGATTGTCTTTCGATTGCACAAAATATATTTGGTTCAATGAGTTTTAAAGTAGCACAAGTACATCGACTACAATCGGCAACATATCTTAGTAAAAAAATGTGAATTAAATTTAATTCTCATTTATTTTATTCTATTTATTAATTCAAATTCGTCTTTTTCTTGTTATTTTATCTAGGTATAATGAAGCTGAACAAGAATTAAATATATGTTTACAAATCTATAGGCTTTGTTTACCACCAAATAGTTTTCATTATCTTGTAACAAATGCAAGTTTAGGTTTACTTTATAAACAACAAGAAAATTATGAAAAAGCATTAATATTATTTCAAAATATTGCTGAATCCTTAGGTAATTTTTTTCTCTCCTAAATTTTATTCATTACAATTTGATTATAATATTTATTTTAGATACAAAAACTCAATCATTTCGTTGGATAAACATGGTACTTGAAAGTCTTATTGAATGTTATTCTCATCTTGAAGCAAAAAAAACTGAAGATTCACCTCGATTAAAAAGTGCTGCTGATAAAGTTCGTTCCGAATTATATGAATGGCGTCGTATAAATATAAAACGTATTAATATATTAAATTTAATACATCAAGAACCAACACGTTCATTAGAACAATTTGTTCAAGATGTAACAAAATTTCAACAAACAACTGATCGTCTTCAATCATTTATACGTATTCAACAAAAAACAAAAAATCGTATTATACCAATGAAAATACATCAAGAAACTTAAACATTTTATTTCAATATATAAATATATATTTAAAAACAAACAAACAAAGTTGAGATCACTTTCCGTTTTTTCTTTTGTTTTTATTAAAGATTAAAAATAAAAATTTAAAAAAAGAAAAACAAACACAGTAGACAAAAGTTCTTTGTTTTCTGATTTAAATATCAAGAATTGCTTCATATTTTCCATCATATGAACCTTGTCCTGTTAAAAATATTGATATTGGTGGTTCACCAAGTAGACCTTCGATTGATAATTGACATTCATATGTTTGATTATGTTGAGCAGTAAAATATATTGATATGACTTGTTGTACAGATTTATCTTTAGAATTTAATTGAGTTGTTAATATACCACATTTTGGTTCAATTCGAAATGCTTCATAAGCATCAGGAATATTAGCATAAACTAAAATGATTTATTCATTGAGAAAAATCTTTAGATTATTCTGAGTGAATGTTGACTGATGGATTAACTTAATTAATGAAACATGTGTTCGCGATTCTGTTTATTTCAGTAAAGTGTCGGTAATTCAAAATTTGAGCAAAGTTCGTTTTTTGATTTATTCAGATGATGTTTTCGTAGTGAAACTTACCAGGGAATTCATCGAATGATAATCTAAGTTTGTGTTCATTTTTTTTGTTGATAGTGTAAGATAAAAGTTATGAAAGAATTCGTATCACTAAATCTTTTTTCTTGAGTTATGGTCATTTTACCGCCTATTGAACAATATCACGAGAAAATTTGCAACAAAGAGTTTCAGCTTAGATGGATGATTTCTTCTTAAAATATCGTATGTCGAAAAATTGAGTTATTTCTGAAGCTCTAAGGTGAAACTAACGCTTTTTTGAAAATGCATTATCTCAAAAGAGAAACATTCATTTCAGCTGAAGCTTTTAGGATACCAGAAGAACTATTGTTGGGAAGAGTTTAGGCTATAAAATGATCATAATTCGAGAAAAAAGACCTAATGGCTCAAACCTTTTTATCGTTCAAGATTTAACTTTGTTATCGTGTTTAGATATTTTGACTTTAGTTTCTCTGGAATGTTAGTTCTTCATTGATAAAGGATAACCTCAATGATTATTAAGAAGTTAGAGAATTTGACCTAAATACATATTTATAATAAGACGAAAACTTTCCACATGGGAAAGACAAATCTCTTTACAAAACGATCAAGCAAAATCCTGTTCATTAAATTTTGTAAATTTTTTTACTCTAACAAAATATTATCACGAATAGAAATTACTAAGAAATGTATGAAATTACCTTTCATTCGGTCATAATGAGTAGTGGGCAAATCAATGTTGATTTCATTGTCTGGTGTACGTTTCTCGTCTTAAGAATACTATATTTAATTTTCGTTCTTTAAACCATAGAACCGCTGAGCATCGAACTCATCAAGTTTCTAGCTGAAATTAATATCTCAATAAGTATACATTTGTTCTAGCTCAAACTTTGCAAAGTTTCTAGTGATTATAAAGCCTATTTATTACTTATTAAGACCAATCGAATGGTAAGAATTTTATGCGAAATGCAATTTAACCGTTGGATAGATTCCAGCCGGTCCACGACCACCCCGACCCCGTTCAATGTTTCAATTAATATTGTTTTTTTTAGTAATTTACCTTTTCGTATTGACCATGCTGATGATGAACAAGTTAAATTTTTAAGAATAAGTTCTTTTTGTCTTGTTTGTTCAAGAAAACATGTACCAAAATCAATACGATCACAATTAACAGTTAATATTGGAAAATATAAACGAATATCAATTGGTATAATTTGTTCCATTTCATTTTGTTTAAATTTAATAGCTAATTGTTCATGCCAATGTATACGACGTCCATGTTCAATTGTTATTGTTTCTTCAATTTTAGATAATAATGATTCATTTTTATTTAAATTTGTTGAACGAAAACGTTCAATAAAATCTGATGATAAATGAAAATTACATTGAACATTAACTTTTGATTGTGACGTTAAACTTGTTAATGTTGATGGTTGAATTGAAAGAAATGATGAATCTGATATAGCTAGTTCAAATGGTATTGTACATTGTCGTGTATTTAATAAATTTAATGTACGTGTATAGATTATTTCACGACGATTTCGATTTGACAATGTTGTCGATTTTGCTGATGCTCTTGATGAAGATTTTTTTGATGATGGTAACGTACAATTGTATAGATTAGGTTGTAATGATAATATATCACCTAACATGAAATAAAACTCAATAGAAAACTAATTCAATTAGTATAGTCTCCTTTGGTCTCAAATCCAGATTGAAATTTTAAGTTTTTTTTGTATTCAATAAAAGATATTTATTATGCATATGGGTCATAACTTGAGCCCATTGGAATAGTCCTTCTAGACCTGGTCGGATTCGAAAATTTTGAACCCGATCAGCTCTAGCTATGATCCGCTACAACTGTACCCTATTTGAAAAGGCGACTACTGTTAACAAATAGAAGTGATAACTTATTTTATGCATTCGCGACATATATCTTGTCTTAATTTTTTTCTATATGACTGTGACCAGAGATAGGACGCGTGCCGGTAGATTCATATGCCGTCCAGTCTGATCTGCTCAGATAGGTACCAATAGGGCGCAGACTGTTCACGTAGTTATAAAAGGCATGAATATTGATTTACAAACAAAATGTTCATTAGCGATGATGTTGAACATGAGGATTAGTATATTGATGAAATGATAAGAAAAAGAAGCATAGTCATATATAGATACTAGGATAACAAATTAAAGACGATTTTTTGTCAAAAACTACCTATACGACTTATTGAGAATGTAAAGAATTACCGAGAAATCAACAAAGAAGATGTGTTGACATCGATATATGTGCTTGATAGACATTAAAGATGTTTCTTTTCTGTATAAATCTCTTTTTTTTTACTTTTGTGAAATATATAAAATTAAAAAGTTGATGTCATACTTTTTCGAATCTTTTCATAAATGCACTTCTATGGTTTGTTAGTCATATTAGAATGTTCTCTAGCAAATATCTAAGTATAGTGATAAAATAATAAAAGTTTGTTTCAAGTCAAATGATAAAAATAAAAGGATTTCTCAAACCTGAATTTGAGATCAAAAGACAATAGTATTTTAAAAGATTTTCTTACCAGCAGGAATAGCAAATAAAAGTGCTTCGGATTCATCAACATTATAATCATCATCATTAAGTTCAACACGTAACGATGGCATTTCAAGTGATGCATGCATTTCAAATTCAATTTGTTCTTCGTGTTCATAAAATATAGGTCGATGAAAACCTTGACTTGGTGAACCTTGTCTCTATAGATCGAAATATTAGAACATATTATTAAAAGATATTTTTTTTTCTATTTTACTTCTTCTGATACACTTAATACTCCAATCATTCGTGCATTATATTTCATTGGACAATCTTTTATTGGACAATTACGTGGTGTCATAGTTATATCAAGATAAAAATGTTCTCTGGGTTTAACAATCTAATTATAAATATAAATAAATTTTAATTGATATAAATATAGAAATAGTTTATTTACTTTTGTTGTTGATGAAATCGAATAAATAGCATTTGTATCTGAAGATCGTTTACCTTGATAAGGTTTGACATAAAGTTTAATCAATGGTGCTGGTTTATCATCAATCATACTGGCTGATGAATGAGATAACAGACCTGAATTTTCTCTTGAAGTTGTTTCTATAATAGGTATTTAAAAAAAATCTTCTTTTTTATTTAATAAGAAGATTTAGAAGTTTTTATTCGAAATTTCTTTCAATATCAAATACCAAGGATGAAGTCAATTTCGTATATGTTTTATGTCATGAATTAGAGACTGAAATCGAACCAAATCAGTAAAACTCGGTTCAAATTGTTGGTACATATGATATGTTAGATATTTATAGTTAGTTTAAATAGGGATCGACTAGTTACCAGTTCAAATCAAATAAGTAAAAGAATTATTCAAACTAATCAGTTTCAACAGCTCAGTTCTTGGAACTGAACTATTGAAATAGATGAGTTCACATGTTTTTTAACAGATTCGAACTAGCATTGAACTTATCGATCTCTATATACAAATGAATAAATGAAACTAATTTTTCCAAATTTTCTTTTTCTTACTTGTTGATACAGTTGTTTGAGACGTTAACTCATCATTATTTTCCATAATACTTGTTTCACTTAGAAAACTATCAAATGGATTATTATCAACAACTGATATAAGTTCAATAAGTTTCGAATTTTCTTTCATATCTTCTGTTATATCATAAATAACCCAATCAATACGTATCGGTATATGTGAAATATTTTGCATATGAACTTTTTTTATTATTGGTAATGAATTATGTAACATTGAACCAAATTGTACAATAGGTAATGATGATGATTTATCATTTTTATTTGTACTTAAAAATGTTTTTATTGGATTACCACTTATATGAACTCGAATAGGAATTTCTTTTATTGAATCCATACCATCAATCTAATCATTATATTAAAACAAAAAATAAGTTATTAGCACAATCCTTGTGAAATTAAACTATGAAACAGAGATGTCCATCGCGGTTGAAAACTGACCGCTGCCGCGCCGCGACGATAAACGAAAAAAGCTAACGCGCCGCTACCGCACCGCGGTGATAAAAACAGAAAACCTACCGCGACGCTGCCGCGATGATTGTTAGAATAATGTTGTGAATTTTACGATCTGTGACTGTTCAGGACTAGAGCTGTTGTTACCAATCGATAAGATTCGTTGAATCTCATAGTTTTGCACTTGCAAACATTGAAATTCTGTT